ACAAATTGAAAAGAATCGGGGCCATGGTGCATCCTTGACGCAGTCCGTTCCCCACCGCAATCGGCTCCAACAGCTCGCCACCAATGCGTATAGATGCTGACATGTCGACATGGAACGATCGAATTACGGAAACCAGCACCTCTGGTACGCCAAGCTTTGCAAGCACCCTCCACAAGGCGGCCCACGGCACCGAGTCATAGGCCTTTCGGAGGTCAATGAATACTGCGAATCCCTTGGAAGAATGCTCATGCAACTTCTCCGCGACTTGCCGAACAGAGAATACCATATCCGAGCAGCCCCTGCCTCTGCGAAAACCGCACTGAGAATCAGGCAGATACTGTTCCCCAACACGCTGCAGACGGTCCGCTATAAGCCGTGCAGCAAGCTTGCCAACCACGTCGAGAAGGGCAATCCCGCGCCAGTTATCAGTCAGACTCAGATCACCCTTCTTGGGGATAGGGACCAGGATGGCATCCACCCAATCCTGCGGTACTCGACCAGCCCGCCATACCTCCTCCAGCAATGCCTGCAGCTTACCCAGTAGAACAGGACCACCATACTTCAGCATCTCGGCAAAGACTTCAGAGCTACCACAAGCTTTGCCGTTCTTCAGTGCTTGCATGGCCTTACGAATCTCCACACGGTCGGGAACATCCGCAAGCTCCCCCAAGACCGGACGCTGGTGAATAGAGTCGAGGGTTTCCACGTCAAAGTCGCTGACGATATTGAGAACTCCCCCAAAGTGCTCCCGCCACCGCATGTTCGTGGCCTCGGGGGTGTCACAAACCTGTCCCATTGAATTCTTGATCGCTGTTGTGACCTTCGGTTTTAGTCCCTGAAACGCAGCCTGGATGTGTCTGATGCACTCCCAGCCACCCTTGGACGTGAGGCTGAAACGTTTGCAATCCTGGGCCTTGTTGAGTAGCCATTCCTGCTTGACGCGTCTGACTTCCCTCCGCGCGGAGCTGCGGGCACACTTATAGGCATTGCAATCACTGACTTTGCGTGTAGACACCCAAACAGCAAACAGCCGATCCCTCTCCAGTAGGAAAGGTTCAAGCTCTGCCTGACTATCCCGAAACCACTCCGGCTGTCTACGGCTCTCTCTGCCCAAGCAATCCTCTGCAACCTTGATAGTTGTTGTCTTGATGGTAGTCCACCAGTCATCCAAGGATGGCTCATGCGACCAGGCTCCCTCCAACTCTGCATCCAGCATGTCGCGAAAGACCCTACGAGTGTCCGGTTCGTCATCTCCGCCAGGCTTGCACAACAGCTTGGACACAGCAATGGGTTTTCTGATGACAGCACGGGTACGATGGAAACAGGGATTCTCTGCCAGGCGCAATTTCATAGCCAAGAATTTATGATCGGTATCACATTCCGCAGACCGGATGACTTGGCAATCAATACACTGGGAGCGTCGGCTCTGAGGAATGATGCAGTAGTCAATGCAGTGAGGCTGTTTGTATCGAGGATGAAACCAGGTATGCTTATGAACATCATTCTTCCGAAACCACGTGTTACATATGAGGGCACCATTTCTGGACAAGAAATTGAGCAAATCCTCTCCAGCTGAGTTCATTCGACCAAAACCATGAGGGCCTCTGACACCTGACCAGTCACCATCCGCACCAGCACTGCCAACACGGGCGTTGAAGTCACCAAGAAGGACGAATTGATCGTTCCTGGGAATACTGTCAATGAAGGACTGGACATCTGCGTAGAATTGAGTTTTCTCCTCACGGGGCCTGACAAACGTGGGGGCATACGCCACAGCGAAGTGCAGGCAAGACACAGACTGATTCCGACCACATACGAATTTTACCTGCAATGACAGGAGTCTGGAGCCGACCGCCGTCCAGCGAGAGCCTCCGCGTTCAAATGCCTCCCTGCATCTGCCTCGCAAAACGACAGCAACCCCTTCACCACGACGAGCAGGCTCATCCCCAGTCGGTGTTGGGCGACCACTTGTCAAAACTAAGCAATCTCCGACAGTATATTGATGAGAGCCAAACCAAAGCGTCTCCTGGAGGCCAACGATGTCCATTCCATACTTTTTGAGCTGACGACACACAAGGTCAATTTTTCTCTCCTCGCGAATATTCGAACAAACTTTCCTTGATTTTTTTGCTTTGGACGCCGTATTCAAATTTCCGTCAGTGTCGACAAGAGTCCTGACGTTCCACGTTCCCAGAGACAGAACAACCTTTCGAGCCGCTGGTGCACGCGAGTGAAAAGACTCTGGGCGAGGGTTTGCAAGACCTCTACACCCAGGCGAAAGAGGGTCAGCGCGAGTGGTCACATCCGAAGTGGCCATGTCGTCAACGCTGAATTTTTCCTCCTCCGCGGCAGCAAGATGAAGACTGCCTTGTCTAACACCGCGTCACTAAGTGTTTTCTACTCACCAGGGCTGGCCCTGGCAGAAGCCAGGAGCCAGCCCGTGGCCCCAAACTCACTACGAAGAAAGAAGAGTTCGGAGCCCCAAAAACTGCTTCCTCCTCTCTCAAGAGAAAACTCAAACACACACGCACACGCACACACACACACGCACACGCACACGCACGCGCACGCGCGCGCGCGCGCGCGCACGCACGCACGCACGCACGCACGCACACACACACACACACACACACACACACACACATACACACACACACACACACACACACACATACACACACACACACACACACACACACACACACAGACGGCCGCATTGTAAACAGTAGAGTTAGTCACACGTTTTTACACTGAACCTCAACGGCAAAGAAGGTGTTGTGAAACCTCTGGTTCTCTAAAGTGTCAGGAAGGAATGACCACACGGCATGAGGACAACTATTTTATTCTTGACAGTATATTTCAGTTTGATGGACTATAACAATAATGAACAGTAATAACAACAGCAGGTATTTATAGCATGCAAAACAGTGTAGATGTGTATGAAAAACATACACATATAAAACATGACATTACAGCGTATACTGTAAACTGAACACAGCGCATATAGCGTATGCCATGCAGCAACATCAGCGCTACGGCAGAGTCGCAATACAACATTGCAATGAATACAATGCCATCAGCGCGAAGGCCTTTCCCACTTGAGAACTGGTGGTTTGCAACAGAAGGGTTAGAGCACCGCTGCCCTCAAGTGAAAGCCCCTGGCTCGAGTCCTGGTGGCGCCAGTCAATTTTTTCTTCAGACGTTTTCCCGTTTGCATCTTTCCCTCAACCAATGAACAGGTAAGGAGTCGTCCGTATTTTTCGAAAAATTAAAAAATCCGTCCTCAGGCAAAAAGGGGGTGGGTGGTCAAGAGTGCTGGCGGAATTAATTTTTTTGATTTTTCGTATTTTTTGGTTTTGTTCCAGGCCGGGACTTTCATACACTTGTTGCACTGACTGTGTAGTGTACTGTAGACCAGGGAGTCGTAAAATACCGGTATTTTACGACTCCCTGCTGTAGACGTAGTGTAGGATCGATTGTCGCAAACACCAGTATCTACTAACTGTTATACATGACTTTTCAGACTTTTCATGTAGTTGTAGGACGTGCATGTCCGTCGGTTGACCTACTACTCACTGTACTTAGCTACTAGTACTTGACATACAATGTAGGTGCAGTCAGAAAACATGGCGTCAGGAGTTATTATTTTCCAGCTGGGCATCGGTAAAATCAAAAACTTAACGGAAAAAATGGGGGTGGGTGGGTGGGTCAGAGACAATTTTGCACGAGGACGGATTTTTAATTTTTCGAAAATTACGGAAGACCCCTAAAGAAGGTGGTGTGACTTACGATCGAGCGTGACTTCTTCCTACGTAATATGGCCCAGAATCTGCGAAAACCGGGCTTAGGGTGAAATTTCACAAAATGACTTTTTCCCATTTTCAGCTTCTACTGGGCATGGAAGGTCAGGAAACAAAATATTACAGGTGTGGGTCGACTAATAGTGGTATTAAATCTATCTCAAACACACTAGGGTATTGTGTTAAAAAATCCCAAAAAAACACAAAATTGTTATCACAGGAAAGAAATGAAGAGAGATGCACCAGACTGAAGGAAGAGACATGGATGATTTTTGTTTAGGTGACATGACAAGGTAGGCATGTGGGGGCAGGCTTGTTGTGGCCTCTTGGTGCTGCAGGCTGTAGTGGCCATGCACAGTTCTGCATGAATTTTGTTTGCTCCTCACTCAGCACATTCTGGAGCTGAATACATGTACTGGTGTGCTCTGGCGCTACACACCACAAGGAAACCCGACTCCAGTTGAGATGGCACCTTTTGACGGGTGAATCTAGTACAACTGTTCACTAACAAGCAAGAACACAGCCTTTCAAACTGTTCCACTGTTCATAGTAAGAGCATAGTGTGCTGGCGTGCTGCAGTATCTGCTTGGTGCTGACCAGCATGTGAAATATCGGCACGCTGGACAATCCCTTGCAGCTAGCTGACCAGCGAGGAAAGTCTCGAGTGGGGGCCTCTCGATCTGCTCACTCATTCGCCTGGCCTTCAGTAGCACTTCATCGCCAAGGACATCAATTCAAAACAGTTTTCACACTGCGTTTCAAGCCTTTTTTTTTCCTCGTGAACTTGCTGCAAACGTATGAGCTCTGCTGCGCGTGTTCCTTTTGCGTGAGGCTCAGAAACAGCTAGTATCTCCGTACTTCGATTGGCTGGATCGATGTCGTCCAGGTTCTCCTCGCTATCGCCATCACGACTCTAACTGGAGACGATTTCTTCACCATTTTCCGCAAGCAGCAGCTAGCGCAGAAATTTCGCCATTCCTGAGTGTAGGAGATGGAATCCGTTCGATCAGCTCAAAAACTCTTCGTTGTGACTAGAGGAGTAGCAGGGAATATTCTACCGGAAGCCCTTTGACTTCCCTGACTGCTGAAACCCTTCCTGCCATGAATACTACTTCTTCAAACAAGCGAGATTCTCTTTGGTTCCACTTCACTGCACTCGATCGTCCACGCGACACAACCTTTTTACAAAACATCAATTTTCTCAAAAAAATGATTTTCACCCTAAGCCTGGTTTTCGCAGATTCTGGGCCATATGTGAATGTACTGTATTGAAACAACTTGGCTCAGACCTGTTGCGACTTATCATCAAGTGCGACTTCTAATCAGTGAAATGCTGTACACTTAAGCCAATGCCAGCTTTCTTCTTCTCATTCCACTTCCTTCTCAGGTTCTGCTACAAGACACATTCGTGATTATAAGGAGCTTGTCAGTCAGAAGGATGGACAGAGAGGTAAATATACATACAAGTACGGATGGATGATGGGTAGAGAAACAGACAGACAGATAAACAGACAGAAAGGTAAACAGACATACAGACAGACAGACATACATACAGACAGACAGACAGACAGGGAATGCTGACCTTTCCACCCTTGAGAATATGATACCAGACGGATGTGCCACCAAAGTCGATACGGAAATCTGTGTAGCAGCCACCGACGCTCATCAGGCAGTACCTGTGACAGCACGGCATCACCACAAGCAACAGCAGGAGACCAGCAACAACAACAGCAGCTCCATCAGTAAGCCAGCAACAGCAACAGCAACAGCACAAGTAACAGCAGTAGACCAGCAACAGTCACACAATCAGTAAGCTAACAACAACAGTAGACCAGCAACAGCAGCGCCAGCACAACCACCAGCAGTAGGGCAGCCAGCAACAGCAACAGCAACAGCAGCACAATCAGTAAGCCAACAACAGCAGCAGCACCACAAGCACCAGAAATAGGGCAGCTACACCTGTAGTACTATCAACAGCACCAGCAGTCGGCCAGTAACAGCAACACCGGCGGCAGCAGCAGCAGCAGCAGCAGCACCATCAACAAGAACAAACAAAACACATACTTTTGCACTTTGGGATATTTCATGTCGACCAGTCGGTTGGTGGCCTCCTGCTGCAAAGCGCGCAATATTTCCGGCCACACCAAGTCCACCCAATCCAAATGACGTACCTGCGTGCAACAACAACAACAACAACAACAACAACAACAACAACAACAGCAACAGCAGCCGCAGCAAGCAAGCAGTAGGAAGAAGAAAAGACAAATGAGCAATTCGTACACGGTTGCGAATACATACTATACAGCTTGTGATGGGGCATTGATAAACCAATATAAACACATTGCACAAACCAATCAGGAGTTAAAAATCCATACTTTCTCAAAAACAGCCTAAGCATGATCATGTATAACATGAGCCTCAAACGCCCACCAAACCCCCCAACACGGCATACAGGGGAGACAGTAGTGCAGTGGAGTGCTCAACTACAGTGCACTCATTTCTCACGGCTCCTATCCGGACCTCCAAGTTACGGGCATCTTGGTCTACGGGGAACCCTGGGAGTGAGTTTTAGTGGATATATTACTACTTTTCTACCAATTTGTGGAAATACCAGGAGTAACGTAATATGCCAGATCTACGTGCCTTCCACATCAAGATGTACGTGATTACGAACATTTCCAAATGAAGGGTGTTTCGGGGTAAACAAGTTAGTTGTTTACGACAGGATTATATTCTCACTTGGCCATTGTAGGCAAATCATACGAACCCCGACATCTAAAGGATCCTGCATGAAAGTAGGCAGCTGCGAGATGCGTATTTCGCGCATGCTCTTGCATGGCTACGTAATGCATTACATCATAATACAACATCCCCTTCGTCATAAAGGAGTTTAACACCCTACATAACATACCGTACGTGTATGACGGCGTGTTCACAATATAGAACATAACATCCAACAATAGCTCTATGTACAAGATAACAATCCTGAATGGCACACGACGGCGTGCTAACAATACAGAGACATAGTATCCACCAATAGCTCTATGTACAATATAACAATGGCACCTCAGCTACTGTGACATAAGCGAACAGGTCCATGAGGCCTCTCTGGCCCTACACATCCAGGATTGACCTGGGTGCGACTGCGCGGCCAGACCGTGTTCGATACAGCTGGGTGGCAGGTTCAGCAGGCTGGCTGACGTCACACGGTGACGGCGGCTGAGACTGGCTAACGTCGCTCCACGGCGACGGCACGTCCCTCGGCGGCTGAGGCTCGCCAATGTCGCTGCGCGTCGACGACTGAGGGCCTGCGAGACTGGCATCCGGCGGGAAGTGGACCCGCCTTTCTCTGAGGTGGGTACGGTTGCGCCGCACTTCTGTCCCATGGTCAGGCTGCACCATGTATGACCGTGGCCCGTTGACAGACTGGGTTACGATACCAGGTTCCCACAGGTGCGTGGTCAGGCTGCGGATGCCGACGTGCTGACCAGGAACTAGGGGGCGGAGAGACTGCGCTCGCTGGTCATGGTGTACTTTCTGCTGGTCCTGCCGTTCCTCGAGCTTCTGTCGGATGGCCTCGTCCCGAGTGTCGCGCTGGTGTTTGCGAGGCAGGTTGTCCTGTACCTGACGACCGAACAGCATCTCGGCCGGCGACGGTAAGCCCTGGCACACTGGGGTGGCGCGAATGCACAGCAGTGCTAAGTGCGGGTCGGTCCCGCTCTCCCTTGCCTTCTCGAGAGCTCTCTTAGCGATCTTGACTTGCGATTCGATAAACCCGTTACACTGCGGGTGATGTGGCGACGACGTACTGTGGCGGAATCCATATTCGGCAGCAAACTCCGCGAACAGATGGCTGCTGTATTGCGGCCCATTGTCCGACTTCAGCACGGCTGGGATGCCGTGCTCACCGAAAATCTCCTTGAGGTGCTGGATGATGGCCCTGCTGGTCGCTTGTCCGGCAGGCAGCTTCCGGGTGATGAAGTACTTGGAGTAGCAGTCGGCGGCAATGAGGTATTCTGACCCGCCGAGGTAGAACAGGTCCGTGCCTAAGGTGTGCCATGCCCTTGGCGGAATATCGGGCTGCACCAGTGGTTCCTTGGCTTGACTGCTCTGGTGGCGCTGGCACGTCGTGCAAGATGAGACAGTTGCTTCGATATCCTTGTTGATGTCCTTCCAGAAGACGGACGTTCTGGCTCGCAGCTTGGTCTTCTCTATGCCTTGGTGGCTGGCGTGCAGCTTGCTGAGGATTTCCCCCCTCATTGGCGGGGGAATCAGGACGCGACTGCTCTTCAGGATGAGACCGTCCTCGGTGCTCATCTCGTCGCGGAAATTCCAGTACGGGAGCAGAATTGCCGGCACCGCGCTCCTCTCTGATGGCCAGCCACTGAAGATCATCTCCTTCAGTGCTGACATCTCGGCGTCTTTACCACGTATGTGGGCGTGGGTTCGAATCCCACTTCTGACACCATGTTTCGGGGTAAACAAGTTAGTTGTTTACGACAGGATTATATTCTCACTTGGCCATTGTAGGCAAATCATACGAACCCCGACATCTAAAGGATCCTGCATGAAAGTAGGCAGCTGCGAGATGCGTATCTCGCGCATGCTCTTGCATGGCTACGTAATGCATTACATCATAATACAACAAAGGGCAGAGCCCCCGGTCCCGGACCGCCCGGATACAACAGATAAGAGTGTACTACATGTAACGTTACATGCATAGGATTGATTGATTGCAGCCTATATCAATCATATCTTCTGAAAATTGTAGTCCAAGTTGCTGTTTGATGATCGGTTAAAACCGTGAAATTCAGAGTTACAGCAGAAACGCTTTTGATCCTCTCAAGTGTATGTAGGATTGCTGACGTACCAGACTGGGTGACTGCACTAGAGGCTCCAACTTAGTCTTGGTGAACTCCAGGCTAATGACGTTGTAGAGTTTGTCGCGTTTCGCATTCGTGTAGTACCTGCACAAGAGAGTACATGGCGTGTGCCAAACACACACACACACACACACACACACACACACACACACACACACACACACACAAACACACAATGTAGCTCCAAGTCTCTTCGAACATAAGAAAACACTCAAAAGACACCATGACACCAAGACTTGCACTGAAAGGCTTACTTTGTAAAGTTTGCCATGCTCATGGTGGAGCCTTGTTGTGAGGACACATCCATGATGTCAATAGTACACCCACGCCTGCCCATCACCCAAAGACCCGCTAGCGATCTCACTGGCCCATTGCCCGCCATCCTCCTGGCACCTCCACCCATCTGCTGTACACTGCCTCCCCATCGCCTCTTTCCGCGCTTTCATGCTCACACCTGCCTGTTGCCCGCCACCCTCCTGGCACTTATACTGTCGCGCCGTGGCCCGCGCCAGCTGTTCTCCCCATACCTTACACCAGATTTAGCGCTAAATTTGTTTATGCTTGTGGCCCTATGTATTTAGAAGCATACTGACTCACTGTTAGGTAGACCCGAGTATCAGTTGTCGGATGATTGCCTAACGGCATGAAACTCAAGAGTTACAACCAACCTAAACGTCCTCCGCTGAGTCTGCTATGATTTGAAAACTCCGTATGGTGGAACCCAGATGCGCATGCAGTTTACGTAAGACTTTCCGTAGATCGACTACGTTTTTTGAACTAACGTAACTACGTTATGCGGAACCTCTCTAATAAAGTACAGTGAGTGCAGGAAAATACTTCGACAACTGTGGACAGTCGGTTATAGGCGATTCACACGACAGCCACTTGCACGTTTTACGGCGAGTGATTTACGAGAAAAAGTGACTGTGTGGATTCACATGGCTGCACTCAACAGCGGGCACGTTTGCATTTTTGAATGATTCATCCACCAGTTGCCATGAGTATTTCAACTTTTCATAACACGCGTACAATAATTATCACGGTGAAAAGAGCCGCGTAAAAAATCAAGTCTTGTTTTGCGCTTTTTGGTGTAAATATAGTTTACTGCTTGCCGCAGATCTGCAGAGGGGCTGAGGGCTAGACCCACAGGACACTTCTGATCATAACTCACTAGACCTAGTCTTTCTTAAACTTGCATTCAGTTTCGACGGGGACAATACCCCCGACACACGACCAACACAATCTTTAACTGTCTTTGACGCCATCACAATATCAGATGCAAACACGGCCTAACGGACAAAGTCAAACAAGCCGTGACCTGATGTTGACACAGCCTGGTCAGTATGGAGCTTGCATGTCGAGTCTGCAGTTAAGGAATTCATACCTCAAAAGTTGAAGCGAAATAACCTGAACAACAAACTGTGGTATAATGCGGGAAAATCAATAAATTAAAAAAATGTCAAGTTCGGAAATTTTATTGGGTGGTCATCCCGTTTGACTGTGCGAAGTAAAATTAAAACAACCAAATGGTTGGGTTGATCTGCACTGTGCAACCGATTCTCTCACCTTTCTTCCTCCAGCTATGCCTGTGACACCCTTTGTGAATGTGCGAAACACTAGTGGCAGGCCACGCGAAAATGAGAATGCGCGCAGCCAAGTTTAGGCCATCATCTCCTTCATCCATCATCCCGGCGGTAACTCCGCCCGTTCAATATCCAACACCAGTCCCCAGGAAAGAATAAGGCACGAGATTTCAAGTTCAAGGGCAAAGCTAAAGCCAATGAATGGCACTGATTTTTGGAATTGTCGAGTAGAACGAAAATAAATAATCGACGGTCCGATTCGACACACACGTGACACAGTTTGTTCGCGCTCGTGTGTCGCGCTTCGCATTTGCTGCAGCTCCGGAGCTCCAGCTAGCTGCATGCAGGGCACCCATGATGAGTCTCGCGCGCGCGACAGGCTAGCCGCTTGCGACGAAAGTTGTCTTTTTTACGAATTCTGTGACGTCATGTTTTGGAAGAATGTCCCAACAGCAGGGAGTCGTCAAATACCGGTATTTGACGACTCCCTGCCCAACAGTCATTGTACATAATAATTATTATGTATGGTCTCATGTGATATAGGATCTGTTGACCTACATTTTACAGAATATTCACGGTCCACAGTCATCAAAAAAGAATATTCACGGTCCACAGTCATCATGTCACGTGTGTACATGTACAATGTAGGTCGGCAGAGCCTGCAGCCTATGGGGCTGTTAAGTGTGACGTCACGGCTCCTTCGATACGCATAGCAACGGAGAGCACTGGGGACAAACAAAAGTCGCGTCCTCTGGATGGAACCAGATGTCAAGGGCAACAGCATCTAAATGACTGGAGAGACAGTTGTTTTTCTTTGCTTTTTCTTCACTGAGCGATTGTTGTCGCTCTTTACTCCTTGTTCTTTCCTCTACAAAACTCCTGTAGTCGTCGAGTGCCTTCATGATGGCTGTGAAATTGGCTGCCCACAGTAAAACTCCGTGTTTGAGAGTGCTTTGAAGATGTTTCGCGTCCTGATGGATCAAAGTATGAGCGCTCCTTGTGGATTCGATTATATATAGGTGAGTTGTTCAAGAAATCAGTGTCTTCTTTCTGTCTCTGCCCTCACGCTGGCACAATATCAGCCTCTATATCCATGACAGCTCGTACCTCCCGTAAACTGCATGACTTAGATATATTTTCGCCCTCCGTGGTGATTGAAGACCCATGGAAGAATTTATTATGTTCAGAATGATGTCCTAAGAATATAAAATAAAATCATTCTAGGGAATTGTCATAGGGTATTTTTGGATGGATGAAGACAGAGAGAGAGAGAGCACTGTTTGAAGTGTTTGTCTCACTGTAATTACTCCAGATTATTGAATGTTGTATGATCTACTCTATATTTTCCATAATGGTTTTTCCTGATTTGCGGGATCTCTTCTTTTGCTGTTTGCGTGTTTACAGGAAGTGGCTGTCTGGTGTAACTGCACCAGATCCTGGGGAAATTAAGTCAGATGCAGAGGCAGGGTCGTCCAGTGATGCAACACTGCCGTTCTGTGTGCAACGTTACTGCTAATACCCCCGGCGAAAACACAAAAAAGACAAACACGTGAAAAGACTACAGTATTGACCGTTCTGCTAATATATGCATGACTGCTCCGACAGTCGATAATCGAAACACAGAGCACCAGCATGATGTTTTCATATTGGGAACCACACAACAGCTCAATTCTCAAGCCCAAAAATTGATGAATACAAATACAGAGCGACGCAACAAGAGGTCATCCGGCAACCAAACAAACCTGGGTCTAATGCACTGAATAGTCCTGAAATACGCAGGCCAGACAAAGCAGTGCAAGCACATAATGTTACAAGGTACATGCATTGCAGAACAAAGTGTAACCAAAGATACACAGGGTTATAGCTGCACACTTGTGCATGTGCTCGCTCAGCCCAAGAACACACGATCATGATGATAGAAACAATCCGGGGGAAACACGCTAACACCGAAGTAAGCATCAACACGTAAATAGTGCAGCTCTGAAAAAATTACATTGACATGAACATTGGTGTGTCGAGTAGTATCAGGCTTGAATAATCATCCAACCAAGACTTCATCAGGTCCCAGACGCTGAGATCGCACGCCGAATGTGAAGTGCATCTAGCCTTGAACCTGTCGCACAAGGCACACATATAATTATGGCAAAATGACATCCACTCTGATTATTTCCAGAGGCCAATCATGACAGAACACAGAAATGAAACCACTGGCTCAACCAAGTAAACGCAAAGGAAGTTAGTCAAAATAATCCATGCAGTGCTCTTTTAATTGCAGCGCTGATTGCAGTGTTGCGTCATAGCCCGATACCCGCTGAGCACAGACACAACTCCATTCGTCAGGGGCAAGACATACTCTTTTGGAATAAAGTCATAAAGTACAGCGTTCCAATGACATTAGGCCACACGTTTTTATTTCTATGTTTCTCGTCACCCGCCCGCATACGATTCAGGAGTCTGGAAGAAAAAAAGAAAAAAACTGTGCTGCACTGACTGTGCATGTGGGGACCAGCGCACTCATGCACATGTACATAATGTGGCCTGGCCTGCGCGACACATGATGCAAGGATGGCATTTTTTGTGCGCAATCTAGCTGCACATGCTCAGATTGTGACAGAAGCTCCTACCACATACTATTTATTTGCTAACTATGGATGCTATTTTGCATGGTGTATTGGTGGATTTTAGTGTGAACACAGGTCTAATAACCTTTTTTTATTTTTCGGTCATTTTTTATTTTTTCCACCTCTCGCATAAGTTTTTAGATTTTCAGGTGACGAGAAACATAGAAATTAAAACGTGTGGCCTTACGGACACCTCGTGTAAATGCATGGTCTGTTTATCTGGCCGACTCGGCCACGCATGAGAGTGTGTGCATGTACATGCGCGCGCTTGCGCGCGCACACACACACCATGTATTCGGTGCGTATGGTGTACCAGTTGCGGGACAATGAAGATGGAATCATTATCATGATGTTACATGTACATCTACAGTGTATGTTTGAGTGTAAAGTAAATTTTATTTTATAATAGCAATAAAAAGAACAAATTCTGCAGTCATCGCCACACTACAACGAAGTCATGAAAGTTTACCAGAATTAATTTTCTTGTCACATTCATCAGTGGAAAGTCGTGACTGAAGAGTAACCATGCTGAACAATGATTAAATATACATTCAATGATGTGTTACGAGAACAAAATACAGTGCCAAAATAGAAAGAGGGAAGGTGAGACAATAGCAGTGAAGTGAGAGCTAAGTGCAACGGTGGGTGAAAAACTAATAATTATAACGCTAAAACTATGTAGTGAGACAAACAATCATGTTGTGCACCTACGAAAACAATTTTAACGCAACTACATGTTTCTTCTGCTTACAAAGATCAGGCTTATGCAAACGAATACAAACAGCCTCAAGTACTTTCAACTGACTAGCATACCGTGCACGACAAAGAACAGAAAAACTAAAATCATCATACACCTGCAGACACTTAGGGTGAGACAACAAGTGAAGAAAAACGGCAGACTTCTTACGATCACAATCACCATCTGATTCCTCGTCTCCAACAACCGCAACCTCGTCCTCCGTTTCATCTCCCAACTCGTCCTCAGTGTCGTCCTCCGTGTCATCCTCCTCATCAACACTGATCGGTCCCAGGCTCGTTTGACGTTGTTTAACCTCTGTTCGTTGACTCCTCCTTTGATCTTGATGGCAACTTGTTACCATTGTTGTTGTTGTTGTTGTTGTTGTTAAATATTGTGTTCCCAGTGTCCTCGCCGGTGCTTGATCTTCAGTACTGTAATAATTCATTGAATAATTAGCCGTTGATCGTCTAGGTCTTTGAATGTTGATTGTGTTTCTTTCTTTGTTGAATTCCGTTCCCTTCAGCCTTCTTTCTCGTTGTTCACAATCAGTGCTTGCCTCATCCATATATGCACGTGCCACCGACACCACAGACTCAGCCCCAGCACCGCCGATGATAGATGTAGGTGGCGGGTTAAAATTGTTGTCTCCACGTCGATTATTTGCAAATTTTATTTTATTGCACATTTCTTCGACACAACTAATTACTTACTTCACATGTTCGCATTTCTCATAATCGATCCACCTGCACTCCGTATCAGTCGAGGAAAAATTCTCCCAGATATACACTAGTCACCACAGCCATGTGATGACATTGGGATGGGCCCCAAGCAGTGCACGATTGCACTCTCTAGTTACAATAAATTTGGCCAGATTATCTGTGAAGACAAAATGCGATGCATAGCGCCAATCGATGGATGAAGAGAGAGTTTGTAAATACCCATATCTTTCCACTTGTTCAGGAGCTTACCTTTTGGAGTTCACATCGTTTACACGATCTCTCATGCTGTCTTGCACCTTGGTTTTGTTGACCATGGATACGCCAACCCAGAAAACATTCTACAGGAGCTACTAATGCAGAGCGTTTTTCACGCTCGATCTCGGCGATCTACTTTGTCACGCCAATAAAATCCTCCATGACACTGGCTACAGTCACAAGAGACGTCTCAGTAAGGTAATGAGCACGACAACATCGTCGAGATCAAGGACAAAGAGAAAACAAAACACTCACTGAAAACAGCAAAGAAGAAACGAAGAAATGTACACGATTCCTATATGTTGCCACTGACAACTGGGTCGGTGGAGACGACGCTACTTTTGTTTGTCCCCAGTGGGATCGTTGTTATGCGTATCGAAGGAACTGTGACGTCATCACTTAACAGCCCCATTATTGTAAGACTAAGAGTTACTTTATGCCAACGCGAATCCCGCGAATTATTATTATTATTATTATTAAGAGTTACTTTGTGTAGTTCCTGCCAAGTAATGTCCAGTTCATTCTGTCTTGCGCTATTCTGTCTTATGCGTCCTGTCGGCTCTTGTGTATTTGTCTCTTTCTTCTTCACATATTAGGCTTCACACTCACAGTGCTGGAGAAACCAGTTTGAAGTGGAAACTCAGGATTTCTTCGCTCCTGTACACTCCTCTGTGTTTTGATATGCACCGGGTACACACTGCAACTAGTTTCTCCATCGATATGCTGGTACATGGTGGGCCGGGAGACACTGATCGGCTATTCCACAGCTATCGCCAGCCTCTCTAAACCATCACTTTGCCCCCCCCCCCATTCCCGTATACATGTATGTACATAACACAATCATGTAGGTATAGGAAATAACCATACCCATGTAAAGTGTTGCTCTGGACAACACAACACTCTACCGACAAGTCTCTATAGGGCTTGAAAGTGATGACGTAAAAACGG